TCGAAGATGATTAATTTTAAAAGGATTTCGTCATACACATGATCGAGGAACAAGATATCCCAACTTCTCCTCTGTCAATTGGTGAAAGCCGCAGGTCGCTAACTATTGCCGTTATTGAGATATTGCGCTTAGGCCCACCCCTCTTTCATTCTGGCGCTGACATTAGTGTCATAATTATGGATGAACCACATTCCGAAACTTTTTGAATATAGAGATTGAGTTCACAAAAGGTGAAAGTAGTATTTGACTTCTAACTCAATCTCTATATCAGTCAATCGAGCTCGGGTTGAGGCTTGCGATCACAGCTTTTTTAGCTCTATCTGTGGTAAAAATTTGGTGGAAAATGATTAAACTTTACCTGGACTGTGACATGTCCAAGGACTTCTGACGGGTACTATATATGATGACCATCATAGTCACCCATTCATAGTGGTTCCTCTAGACATTAGCGGTACCAGTCGTTCTTGGTCCAGGTTCGACTGGGACCGGGACCATCTTGTCCATGTCTAGGCTCCTTCTGTAGAGATAATTCGTCTTATTCTATCGCATTTTCGAATTCGTTGGGAAAAAGAAAAACGATTCTCTTCATCCTTACTTGGATATCACACTGACTTATAGTTTCAACGACAACATCACATGATATTGTTTTTATAGTTTTATTTTGTCGGAAAGATAGATTTTCATCAGAAAAATGACAACTAGCTATAGATTCTTTAAGTATGTTCGAAATCAATACTATCAACATCTGCATTATCTTCGATTGTTCTAGATAAAATAATTTTCGTAATAAATAATGATTAATTTCAAAAATACAAACTTGTTCGAACTCTTTTAAACATTAATGCGGTTAATCTTTTTCTTGGTCATTCTAAATAATCAATCATATTTTGATCAATTCAATTAAAATCTTCTGTATTTAACGCTGCTTGCATACCAGTTAGTTTAGTAAATTTATGAAGTTCTTTTATAGTAAATGATAATACTTGTATTGGTTCACATCGACCAAAAAGTATCACATGTCGTATTCGACTCTGAAGTAATGTATCAACTGCTATATCATCAATAGATGCAAGAAGAATTCGAGTACAATCAAAATTCTACACTTCCCGTTTCTATTATAACAACTCGATTTGTACGATCAAGTTGTACTCGAAGTTGAACATTTTCTATTACATCTATTTGAAAAATGTTTTTTTTCATAATGAATTAAAAAATATTTTGCTTCAGCAGATAAACCGTCTGCAAATAATATGATAAAATTTTTGTAATTCTCTTATATGTTCATGTTCAGCTATTTTCTACTGCACGATGATCAAGTGTAACATCATCCTATCGAACAAAATCAAATGGTATAGATGCTTTCTTAATTATATCAATAATTGCTGGTATTATCTCACGAAGCTAACGAAAATTTTATGTCAAATGCAAACTAATTTGACCACTGCCGACAGTACCAATACATATGGACGATGAATATCATATAGAATTGTTGGGAACTATTGAAAGTGATCGTCGAATAACACAATATACAAAAGACGTTCATTAAAATGAGCAAACATTGACAAGATATTAAAGATACAACTAGAAGAAAATGTCAAAAATAGTTTCTGTAAAAATTTTCCATAGTACTTTATTTGTAACTATTCTTCTTAAGGTTAAATATAAATATTCAAAATAAACACTCATTCTCAATTACTTAGTAAAGTTTTTATGACTCACTCTTACAGTTTATGATATAAGAAAAAAAAATTCTTACATATAGAGTCTAGAAACTGTCAAGTCATTAAAGAATAATTTTGCATTCGTTCTACGAACTAATTTTGTGTTACTTACAAAATTAATCATGAGTAGAAAACAATTTTGCTTTTAACTCGTCTGCAGAATTTGTATTCAATTAAAAATATAAACATTTGAATTTTATCTTTTTGTTTTTCTTCAAACCTATTGATGAACAGTTTGTCTATTAAAAATAATCAAATATCATACAGAAACATGCTTTCTTTTCACACTGGATATATATTGTTTTTTTTTAAGCTCGATCATAGGTCGTTCTCTTGTATGTAATTGTGAATCAGATGCTATATGTTCTCCTTCTTCAAAATACAAACGTGAAAGATTAGTATTTCCACCAATAATTGCGACAATTTCATTATTTGTTGTTCAAGAAGATACTACAATTTGTGTTGTTGTTCCAGCTAGTATTCGTGATAAAAACGATCATGATAATTAGGACATATTGTATCAAAACGAATATGCTGAATGTGTGTTAAAACTATCCTTCGAATGTGGGTCTGGTAGAAATGAAAATTTACATCATCATCCTAAGAGATCATAACGTTATCATTATGATAAAAAAATAATAGAGCAGTGGAAAGTTGAAGCGTTACAAACTCATTTACAAGTCGATACTATTATGATATAGTAAACGAAAGTTAGTCTGTTTATTGCTGCTTAGCGCAAACTTTCCAACTATATCAACAGAAAAATAAAAGATCGATCTTTAAAGTCTCAGTCTTCATCATGAAAATGTGAGACCACGTAAAGTCCGGAGTATCATCGATTCCGTGGTAGAATATCATACGAAACTGAAAGAAATGGAATTTCATGGTGTCCATATAATGTTATTTGTGTTAAAACAAGTCTCACAAAAGACGATCTCAAAAATTGCCCTTCATGATCTGGTTTAATCGAATACACAAGTACATTTTTCATGAGAGGCAATAGTTTGGAAAACAAGACTAAAAATAACTGTCGAATAGTTGTTTAAAGGGTAGCCAAAAGAAATTTTAGAGTGCCCCTTGTATAATGATAAAATGGTAGCCACTCCCACCATCCATTTTCGAGCTTTCTGAAGAACGACTTCTGAGAAAATTTTTAAAATTTCAGAGTAGGTAGATCTTGATGAGTGAAACAAAAGTTGTTACAAGCTCAAAGTTCTTGGATGTTGTCTTCTATGAGATACTGGGATCACAATGGCAAAAATGACCCCATTTTTCGTCCTCGTTTCTCCTAGTCTTTCAAATAAAAATGTCAAAATATCGAAGTTATCTTAAAAAAAGCCTATTTTTTTGTAAGGGCCTACCAAAGCTCAGCAGACCAATAGTTTTTAGAATAAACAAAAAAATAGCAATACCAAATAGTGACCAGTGTATATGAAAAAATTTTCAGCTCGATCCCTCCTATCATCTCGGGGAAGCGGATGGTAGGTGTGGGTGTGGGTATGAGTCTTTTCTTCATTCACACTCACATCCTTTTCATTTTTGTCACCAGTTTCTTGATGACAGCGAGTTTTCTAACTTAATCTTTTCTCTACTTTTGTATTAGTTTTCTTTTGTCCGTCCTGTTCCTGGCCGACCGGTAGTCTATGATAGACCAATAGTGCCTGCTTCATTGATTATTTTTATTCATGCAGTAATGAGTATAGGTGTCGGTCGGCTCTTTTCCGACACTCACATTCTGCAATTAAGATTACGGCAAAGAACTATTATGACAGATGAGACAGTATGAGCTATATTCAACGCAGTCATCCATTTTTCTAACGAAAATCTCGACAAGCTGTTAATACGGCTAACATTTAATATAACTACACTAGTATTAATTTGATTGCTTAATGACATAATCAAATGGACACTGTATGGGTTTCATCAAGACAAAAACAAATACAATCCATGAATGAGCAACGTTTACCCAAAATATACAAGCCTTTTCGATGTTTCCGTTACTTTATATCTATAGTATCAAGCAAATTGATAGACGATACAAAGAAAATGCTATAAGCATTAGTCTACTATCCGGCACCAAATCGTCATCAACATGTAGTGACAGTTTGAAATTCCTCATTCATATAAAAGCAAAGCTTACATTCGAATATTCATCAAAAGCAAAACAGTTTTTCTGTATAAAAGTATTTTCTTTTCGAGTCGATTATACGCAAATGATTCCTTTCAAGATAAGGTTGCGTTAGATTTTGAATAAAAAGAGTAAAATAAATTAATACTGTTGAAATATTCTAAGTGGACAACAAATCATCAATAGTATTACTCTTCTATATTCTTTTTTCAATGCTGGTTTTGAAACTTCTCATTCAGTTACAAGACAATTTTTCATTTATATATTTGTAATCGCTCATCTAGCTAACAACAAATAAATTTTGCTTGTTAAAGAACTTCAGTATATCCAAGAAAAATTTTGTGTAGAGATTTTCTAGCCTCAACAGTTCTCTATGAAACGCACTATTTAGGTTTCGAAAATATTTTTTTCAGCTTGTAGCGAAAGCCTTTAGCCTTTTTTGTATCGTGTCGCTAATGCTAATTTTTCAATCACTATTCGTCGTTGCAAAGAAAGTCTTTAAGGCTGTCTTTTCTAAAGTAGCTAGAGTAATTCAACATACATACTATGCAAAAAAAATGTCTAAAAGGTATTTGTAGAGTCCATATCTATACACATGTTTATTGTGTGCAATTCCGTTGTTAACGAATAATATTGCTCAAATCTTTGAATTTCGTTAATTTCTTTGTTCATAATGTTCAACTCATAGTCATTGACATCATTTGAGTATCTTATCAACACTAAGACGGTTACATATTACAAATAAACAAAGTTGTGATAATATAACTCTTGACGATGAGATGCGAGATTGTCTAAATTATGAAGTTTTGAAATTCTATACGAATAAGAATGACAATCGTTTGTTTTTAAACTTTTACTACGTTAGACTTTTCAGAGTTGATAACTTCTAGAAATCTCAAGAATAAATATTATTTAGCGTGTTGATATATCATCAATTCCTCGATGTCCTCCATTTTCATAAGACCGAACATCAACAATATTCAAAACTTGTAATTTTCTTATCTTTACTCTATCTTACAAAGAATATCTTCATATATCTCAAAATGTTTGCGGCAAGAACTTACACATAATTTTCATTCTTTTACTTGGCTTGGTGTGTAGTGACTTATTATCATTTATTTGAAAAAAAAAAGACTTAAAGACGAAAAATTATGGATGATGATATTTTAGAAAAATTTGATCAAGTAACTGCGCTTTTTAAAGAAAAATTTCGATCAACAGCAGTACAACGACAAAATCAAGCGTATATTGAACATCTTTATGAACAATTAAATGAGTGGAAATTAAATATAGATGAACAAATAAGACAAATCATTGAAGAAAAAACAAATGAAATAACCCAATCTTATGATCAATATTGTCAAGAAATTAATGAAAAATATGAAAATATAAATGGGCAAATAGAAAATCAAAATCTATCATCTGATATAAATGAACAAATTGAAAATTTTATTATGTATTGCCAATCAAATACAATTGAAAAACGTATACATTTAAATACAATACAATTGACAAAAAATGAATTAGATAAAAAAATTCAATTAGAATCTGTGTCTTATTATGATATACCATTAGAAACAACTAGGATACCATTAGAAACAACTAGGATACCATTAAAAACAATCATTAAAGAACGAAATGAATCAATTCATAGTATTCATTCATCATCAAAATCATCATCTAGTGCATTACAAATGCAAAGAAGTTCTTCAGAAGATAATTCAAAGACATTTGATCATGAAGACGATATCGTACGGAAACCATTATCTGATCGTGTAGACAAAGAATCTTTTAATACTTCAAATAAACCTACAACAATAACAAATGACGTAACATCGAAACGTTCAACTAAATTATATATTGGAAAACATAACACATTAGTGCCTGTCCTTATTAATAAAAATCGTGAAGTTTACAATGAAACAGAAAGAATAACTGAATATTCCATTGATTCTATTGCAATACCACAAGATCAACAACAACAAGACCTTAAAACTATACATAATGATAATGATAATGATGATGATAAAGATAAAACTATACAATTAGTTCATGCTTATAAGGTTCTCATAAGAGGAAAAACTGATTATCAACGACTATCAACATCGTCTGAGGATGAAAAAGAAGAAAAATCGAATGTTAATAAAGTATTTAATTTACAACAATTTGATCAAACTAATTATTCAACAGTTATGTTTAAAAAATGTGAAACATCATATAATTGTTTATCAAGTTCAACACAACGAAATGAATTATTGGTATATAATTCGAAATTGAAAGTTTTAATTATTTTGAAACATGAAAATAATAAAAAATTTCATCATCAATTATTTATACAATGGCCAAAAAATGTTAGCCCTCAAATATCTGATATAACATATTGTCAAAATATCGATCAGTTTTTAATATCAACATACGATACTTGTCATATATATTTATTTGATCGTGATTTATTATCTATATATAATTTAGGTAAATTATCCAATGATTTACCATTACGTCGTATTCATTGTTATCAACAAACAATTTATTGTATATTGGGAAATAATTATCTTTTAGAATTTCAATTAAATGATCAGTATAAAAATTTAAAATTTATTCAACAAGTTAAATTATTTAATCCAATTGATCGTTCACATAATGAAGGACTTTATTTATTAGATGTAACCTGTAATAAGAATTATTTAGTTATTATTTATTCAAATGAATATGATGAAATACATTTACAAAGTATTCATCAACAAACAAGAGAATTACATTATGATTTTATAATAGATAATATGCAACCGATTAATCAAGTTTATATAAGAATTGAATCAACAAATTATAATGAAAACTTTATTTATATCAATGGTAAACAAAAAATTTTAAAAGCAATTAATTTAATAAATAAAGGTAATGAAAAAATAACATCAACTATGCGACGAGAAACAAAACCAACAAATATTTGTTTTCTTAAAGATGGTCGATTAGTGATTTTATATGAATACCCATATTATTTGTCAGTACATGCTTTGTATAATTCTTGAGAAACAGATGAATTATAATTTTTTTTTTATTAGTATTTTGTTTTTTTTCTTTTTGTTTACGAATTTTATCGTTAATTTCTTTTTATTGTGATTATGAATAAAAATTTAATTCGTGTTTTTTGTTTTTTCTTCGCAAAATAAAGCAAATTATATGAAGTTCAAACAAATATTAATTAAACATTTCTATTTCATTCTTGGTGAAAAATATAGTACAACTATTTTTATAAAAACCTTGAAAACAGACTAAAAACTAATGCAAGACATGTCATAATCGTGTAGACATAGTCATATGGCAACAGATTACGAAATGTCAGGATTATCAGTCGAACATAGGAAAATCAGGATATTTCTAAATACTCAAGAAAAAAATCAAGTAAGTAGTATCACTACAAGGCCTGTTAACGTTAATTTCATTATCATCTTATCTTCTTGTCTGCATAAAATGTAAGAAAGCTATTTGTTTCAATGAATTTATGAAGATTTCTTAACAACATCGTAAATAGTTTTAAACCATAAATTCTATGTCATATCAAAAGTACTTTGCAAATAAATTAAGATCGAAAGGCATTCTATTAAGTGTTGAAATTAAATCGGTAGTTTTTCTTTTTTTCATATATTAACTCATTCATCAAAACTAACGAATGAACTCTTTCAACTGATAAATTGTTTATGGGTCGAGATTATATGTATTATGTAGACCCAAATGAGCTATAAATGCCCTGAAAAAAGTTCATGCTCTCAGTTTATTATTGCTGAGATACTGCACTTTTATGGTAGTTGTTAAATAAATGTCGTTATTTTCTTCAGAACAAACTCACTTTTGAATTTCAACTTGAACCTTTGTAGAGAAATAGGTCTTGACAAGAGTAGTTTATTGTGAAAGTTTTAGGTCTTTTGATTTGTTTCAATCCTGAACTCTAAGGTAGGTTTAACATTTTTTCAAAGATTCGCACCTACAAATTAAAGACAAGAGAAGACAAGTTTTTGAATGCTACTTAGATGAAATTCAGTTAGTGGCCCCCTTGTCGAACTTACATTTTGCAACGTGTCACAGTTGTGGAGATCAGAAAAAAATTGTAATTTGCGTTAAAAAGTGTGCCTTTGAAGAAACATGCAAATGTTTATGTTCATTGAAGCTCACCTTTCGAAAGAAGAGTCCCTCATCGGCTTTACCAGGAAGAAGTTTAATGGCGAGACAAAAATGTTTTCAAAAAAAAATGATGTTGCATTGTGAGTTTGTTCACTGTTGCAAATGTCTAACAAGCATGTAATCTCAGTCATCAAACGTAAGGAAAAACTTTGGAAGATTCTACTTAATTTAGCTCAGACTTTTCATACAGTTCTTCTTTACTTGTAATGAAAGATTCCCACTTTAAGTAACAGTCAATATATGGTCCAATATTTACTTGTACAAACCTTAATATTTTCTCGAAAAACGTTTTATAAATCTGTTTGAGTATGAAAATATTATTAATAGCTACCTGAGACGAAGAAAAATTTCGATGTTTGTTCCAAAAATGTCTTATATGCTGTTCAAATATATGAATTTGATTGAAAGAAAAAAAGTGTTTGAGCCTATCCAAGTCTTGTGGCCTCGTCGCCAACAGTTATTGATACGAGTTGGTAGTATATAAAATGTGGACTGATCTTACAAAATTACATAATCCCACCCAAAGATAGATTTGAGTCTACCCAAATATCGTGGTTCCGCTGCCTATGTATACGAGTGATGTAAAAGACACTCTATTACCATAGCTATATTTTAGGATAGGAACAGCGGCAAGATCTGAAACATTAACAAAAACAATTCTCGTCAAGATCGATTTTTCAAATCGAGATTAGAAAATGAGTTTGCGTGAGGTCAACCATAGTATTTATTTGAAAACTACGATAAAAGTTCAGTATCTATCTCTGCATCAATAAGCTAAGGACACAAACTCTTTCCAGAATATTCATAGCTCATTTGGATCTACGTAATACACATAGTCTCGACTCCACAGCGATTTATCATTTGTAAAAGTTTCTTTGTAAGACTTATCTTTTCGTTTCGAAAGTTCATTCATTAGATCAAATGCATTATCTTCATCACAAGTTAACTTATCAGTCAGATTAAACACAAAATATCAATTTTACGAACACATCAATCAAAGTAATCATTCAGGACATTTTATTTTACATGTTTCTTATTTTTAACCTTTCATGTAAAGGACGCATAATTTGAGTATTTCATCTTTATACATAACTACGTGTATTGATCTTTTTAACCTTGCCATTGATTCAACTAATCATTTTCAATATCACCGTAATTTATTGAGCAATCGTTTTTTTTAAATAACCTTTTTTCTTCCATATCAAAGAAAATCCCTTGAGCCATCCTCTAATAAATGTTAACGAATTTCTCTTTTTTTTTGCTCCTCTCACGTGCATATACACACACGCACGTTCACACATGTGTATTAGCAACAGATTAAAAAATAAGAATCAAACAATAGAATACTAGCCAATGGAATCAAGACAAAAACACGGCAACCGAAAATAGACAATATAGTCATCAAAACAAAACAAAAACCAGAATCGACGCAAAAAACAGTACATATAGAATGATAGAAATGATTGCAATAGTTAAGAATGTTCTCTGTCGAAATATTTTGTTCTGTAAATAAAAGAAAACCACTTACACTATGAATAAAAAGAACACAAATAAATAAACCAAAAAAAGAAAAAACGAAAAAGAAATGCTAATAGAACATAAAAAAATGAGTGTCTTGTTTTTCGTTGAGGCTCAGTTAAAGGCTCTTGTCAATAATAAATTTCTATGAAGTTCGCAATGAAAAAAGAAAAAAGTACAAATAACAGTTTATGAAATCAACACCAAGAAAATAATATTAAAAAAAGTTGATCATAAGAGAATATGAGTAAAAAGTTTTTACGAATAGACATATTTTATGAATAAACTAACTTGATATCGATATTCCTACATAACCAAAACACAAAAAGAAAAGAAGAAAGATTTGTTTTACTCAATAATCTCAAAAAAAAAAAGATGTTTATAGATCTTCATGTATTGGTTCTTCTCCTTCTTCATCACCTTCTTCAGTTTCTTCAGGAAGCTACAAAGAAGAAAACAAAAATTCACATAGTTGAAATTAATTTTTTTTGACTTTACCTCTTCATCAGTGGCTGCAGCTTTTCCATTTTCTTTACCATTTGAATCAATAAATTTTGAAAGACCTTCAACTGTACGTGCACCATTATAATCAATAACTTCATCCGAATCTTTTGGAAAAAGTCTTTAGAAAAAAATATATAAGACTTAAAAAATATTAAAAATGAATTCTTTTTTAACATACTTAATTGTTGGAAAGCTTTGAATTTTAATATCTTCAAGTTCATTAACAGTAGAATCCATTTTAGCAACAACAACATCTGCATTATCTTTATATTGTTCACCTAATTGTTCATAAATTGGTGTTAATTGTTTACAATGACCACACCTAAATAAGGTCATAGATTAATCACTCTGTTTTTGATTTGATCGTCATGGTCGAGTTATTATATCATTCTTATTATATTCACAAAGTATGGTATTCAAAACTCAATGCTATCAACCATGAAACGACCCTGGATAAGTCGTTAATGAGATCATTTGTCCAATGGCAACTTGGCATACATCGATCCTTGCAGCTAGTCTACGATTAGTGAATATCTATTGGGAACTCAAGCGTATAAACGAGTGCAAAGAAAAGGCCTGCAAGTGACAAACTGCTTTAGAATTGGAACTATGTTCAATCGATAGAGCCTTATGAGTAGGTAAATACTCCAGAATGGTTCGAACTGCTGAAAGTTCGAATATTAAGTATATTTTTTCTGTAAGATCGTAACTTTCAAGCAAAATCACACTTTGGAATTTTGACCTGGAACTTTGCCAACAGAAAGGCAGCGGTTAGATTAGTTTCTAGGAAACATTTCAACATTTTTTATAATATCGATAGTTTTTACACTCATTATGGCAAAGCGTCTATGTTTTAAAATATTGTGAATTTCTTTTTGTCTACAAGCAAATCTAATGGGTGACTTTATGTAGCTAAAGTTTCAGATCAAAAATCAAAATATCATTAACAAAGATCCAGTAACTCAAATCACTCTAACGTATTTGTTTATTCATTAGACTATCGATTAAATATAGTGCCAGCTTAAAGGCGATTAATTACTTGTAAACCTTCCCACATCAGTCAAATCAATTTACTGACTCAAGCTGCAGCTAATAGAAGTTGTAAAGACTAATGAAACTACTTCTGAGCAGCACCCAATACCGAAAAGTGAGGTATTCTTCCTTGTTTGTTTGATGTTTAATGCTTACCATGGAGCAATAAATGTAACAAGTACAGTTTTTGTTTTATCTTTTGCAACTTCATCAAAATTTTTTCCAACTAAAACTTTCACTGGTGCTTTATCCCAATCTTCTGGAATTTCTTGTGAAAGCAAATGTGGTTTAAGTTTACCATCAAAGAATGTACGAACAAAATTTATTAACACTTCTGATGTTATATCAGATGATTCTGGTTTATATTTGGTCATATCATCTTTTAATGTAATTAAACGTACAGCTGGAACATTTGAAGTTTTAAGACCAAAGAATTCAAGTACACGTTCATTTTCAACATCATCCGTATCAACAAAAACAAAAAGTGTCTATATAGAAAAACAAAAGCAAAAAAAGAAACAATTTGATTTTAAAATTAAAGTTTTTTAATTTACCTGTCCACGAAATTCTTTTGCAGCTGTATGAAATTCTTGTCGATGTTTTTCATAAGTATCACTTTTTCGACTACCAAATAAAAGAGTATGAACTTTAATATCACCACCAAAGATCTTTTGAGCTGCCTAGAAAAATCAAGTTTATTTTTTTAATAAATCATATAAATTTTTTTTTTACTTCAGCACTAAAATCAATAACAATTGGAAGTTGATTAGTTTGAATGAATTCACGAATTGAATCTTCATTAATTGATGTTTTAAGATCAGCACGACCTTCATCAAACTAATACAAAAAATATTCATTAAATATCTACATAATATATCATTCATCATACTTTTTTCAAAAGAACAATAGCATCATCTGTAACTTCAAGTTCTTTAAGAACATCAGTATTTGATGTAATGCCAAATGGAATACCTTCAACAGTTTTAGCAACTTGAAGAAAAGCAGCAGCACTATCACCATCAGTATCCTATTAAATTTTGCATAGTAATTTTTTTTTAAATGATAAAAGAATTACCTTGAAAGCACCAATAACAACAACCTCACCAGCTGCTTTCAATTTATTAAGATCATCAACTGTTTTTAATTCATCAGCTGGTGGTCCTGTTTTCTTCTTTAACCAACTAATTATCTCATTTTCTGATCGACCACCAGTGTATTCAAGAGTTGTACCATCAAGAAAAAATTTTAGTGTTGGATAACCTTTAACTTCAAATTTTTTTGCAAGATCATTTTCAATTGTTGCATCAACACTAGCTAATTTAATTTCACTGCCAGATTCTGCTAATTGTTTAGCAGCTGCAGCATATGCTGGTGCTAAAGACTTACAATGACCGCACCTTAAAACAGAAATAAATATCATAGAGAAATTATGTTTATAATAAAAGAATATTTACCATGGTGCAACAAATTTAACAAGTAGATATTTATTATTTTTAACAACATCATCAAACGTATCTTTCGTTAATGATAGAACATGACTATCATCTACATCCGATGACGAATCATCACAATGTATATGTTTAGTTGTTTGAGTAAGAATAACAATAACAGCTAAAATTGTTGCTTGCATAAATCCAGGAAACATTTTTTTCTTATCTGTATATGATACAAATAATCAATGTTATTGTCTAGAAAATATAAGTGCAAAATAAGTATGTTTACGAGTTTGATCTCCAAATATATATATATATGTATATATATGAAAGAAAAAACCTTCAATTCATATGCCTTATCACAATAGTCATATATATAATGATCACTTCAACCATCCAGAATAAAGCACGACGATATGCATATTTCTGTGGAATACCCGTTGTCGACGTGTACTGTATGCGTATATTATTCACGAGAAATATTACCGAATCAAAAAGGCTAACGAAAGAAAAAAAGAAGCAATACATACATCTATTATTCTATTTCGATAGAGGCCCAAAAAGAATAGAAAAACCAAGATGGACGTAAAAAATAGATTTCTTAGGATTAATACATTCCTTATTTTTGTTATTGAACATTATAATAATGGATTAAAATATATATTTATATATAACTAATCAGAAATTCAAGACAAAAGAAAAAACAAAATTTTATGATTGGTGAAAACTGAATGACTCATTTCGCTCATCTATTCGAAGCAATCGAGTTGGTGTTCGTTTCTTTGCATTATGTTTGATTACAATCAGGAGTGTCCATAAACTGAGAAAAAGAAATTTTCTTACAGTTCTATGATTTACAAAATAAAAAGGAACACAATATCCATGATATTTTTTGCTTTCACATTCATATATCCATTAAGGAATTTGTGAACACATATGTGTGAGTATAAAAACTATTCTAGAAAAAAAAAAGCATTACTTTGGTTTTTATGAATGACAACAATAGTAACGAATTAATGATCAGTTTTTATTTTTCAGAAGAATAATTATAACTCCGTTGAGAGGTATTCAATAACTTAAGAATTCTTATTTCTTAATTCTTGAACATTGCTGATTGCAATTCGAAAATAAAGATCATACTAGATTTGAATTAAATAAAAAAAAAAGATTTTCAGCTATGTTTCTTTTTCCAGCACACATTTTTTTTTAACTCACAGATGGTTTCTGTCTTATCTTAAATATATCAACTATTATTGAAATTTATTGTTCTAGGTCATTCATCGAGATAACAAATAAATTAAATATTTAAGATTATTTTTTAGTCCTTAGTAGACTCTAAGAGAGTCTCGATTCTAATTATTGGAAGAATATACATTCTTGACTTTCGCCGAGTCTACTTTCTAGTTCCATGTTTTTTCTACTATATACTATCGCGAATGATCAATTATTGTTTTCAAAAGAATATACACATTATCACAGCGTTTTTGAAATAATAAATTAAATTAAATAAATTTTTGAAAAATGGATCGAATTTTAATAAACTCTTTTGACCAATTATATCACTTTTCTCAATGATTAATCTTACAGTAGAAAAGATTTTTCATTTTATCACATCGTCTATAAAAATAAACATGCAGAAAATATTGTATTTTTTTTAAAGACTAATTCATTTTTTTTTTATTTCGAAATTTGGAAAGAAAAAAAAACATGTATCAATGTTTTAATTTGTGTATTGCTCTACCTGCTTTTTTTTCTAATAACAAATTGATTTTGTTCTACGCTTTTCTTAAAATAAAGGTGAAAGTGTAATTTTATTAGAACTGTTATCTGAATGTCGGTCACCATTTTTTTTTCATCCGTCACGATATTCTTTTGGAAGTTATTTTATTTAATTGAGGTTATTTTTTCTTGCGCTTCACTTTTGCTTCTCATCTCGTTGATACGCATTTACTTTCTTTCGTATTATTTCTTTTTTCTCTTCTTTAGATTTTTATTGAGTACCCTTTGGTTTTCTATATGCACCGAAGTTCGTTCTGTCATATAAATTCGAGAAAACGATGACTTTTTGTTTCATTCTTATATGGGCTTCGCTTCTTTTTTTTTAATACGAAAAAGAATAAGATGAAGTTTCAAATATATGATTCATCCTTTTTCTTTCCGTTTCAATTCCGTATAGTAAAAATCAGCTTATAAAAAAAAAAGAAAAATGGTGGCGTGCATGCATTTACCCATACTCTATCTGTATTGCATAGGCAAAAGAGAATGTATGATAGTGATGAAGTAGCACTCGTCTTCGTCCTCTCTCATTCGTTTTCATTATCAGTAAGTAAACATGATGAAATGGGTAAAGGTTTTTATATTCAACAAACGACGAAAAAAAACAGAACTTTTTGTTGAAATTTTCTAGATAATTCATAGTTATCTACATTAAAAATATTTCAATATGATTTCTAAAATGCCTTCTATCTTTCTTGTATTCGGTAAGATTAAAATCGTATTAAAAAAAAGAAAATAACAATTTTTTTCCTTTTAAGCTTCTATGTTTGTTTTCTCATCGGCCTATGTAAGATAAAAAATAATAAATCTAAAATTTAAAAATAAAAATTATTCTATTTTAGAAATTAGCCCCACCAACTAATTATACATGGCCTCAAAACTCAAAAAAACTGTGTTTTGCAGGCCGTTTTGATCTTGTACTTAATGCTAACTATACACAAATTGATGGCGTAAGATTTTTGTTTTTTTATTTAAAATTTAAAATTGTATTTCTATTATTTTTTTTCAAGGCGAAAGCTACAGCTAGGATACCATTAAACAATGATACATTTGAATCATACAGTGTATCATGTACAGCACCAAATAACGTTCATGAATTAACACTATCAATGTTAGGTGGTTTTACAGAAATTTTATTAGATTTTTCTGTTGATAGTAAAAATACAACATCATTAACAAAAGTTTATGGTTATATAACGTTAAATGATAAACAAACATACTTTAAAAATTATTCAAATGCTACAACAGGTAGGTTATATATATATTTCCTTTCTCCGTAAAAAAAATAAATTTTCTTTTTATTTGAATAGGTGTGCATAAATTTTCATCAAATGAATCATTATTTATAACAGAACGTGGTAATTCCTATCGATGTAATACAAAAACAATAATTCAAGGTTTTGATAAAAATCAAACCGTAATAGTTACGTCGATTGAAGTAGAAAACTTACGTATTCAACCATTTATTGATGATTCAACAGAATTCAATGATTATGGTGTTGGTATGGATTTGAAAAAGATATTTTTCTTAATTTTCTTTTGTTTTCTTTCTTATCTTAGAAAAAGTTTGTTCACCGGATATAGATAAAAATTCTAATTTAATTCCAATTATTGTTGGTGCTTGTCTTGCTGTATTGGTTGTTATTGTACTTGTTGCATATCTCATTGGTCGTCGACGTAGTCGTAATGGATATCAAAGTGTTTAAATACGTCATCAGCATTACAGGATATGACATTTTTCTATTATTTTTCTATGGAAACATTCTTTTTTTGTCTTCTCATTGCATTTACAATTTTCAAATGATGAGATATAAAAACAAGCAAAAAAAAGACAAAACGAGCATTCAGTCACTTTTCTTCTCTACGTACAAATCAGGTGAATCTATTCTTTGTAATTACAATTTGTCTATGTAGCACATACAAACAAAACCAGAGCTTCATCAGCAGAGAAGAAAAATTTTAAAACATTGTTGAATTCTTATCATTTCTTCTTTTTTGATTGTTAACAAATAAACAGCTTATTTTTCAAAATTACCATACATGAAAACGATAACGATCCATACTTCGTTGTATACTTTTGTAGGCATTTTTAGTTCTTCTTGTTTCATTATGTTTTATATCTGGAAAGAGCTTGAATTTATGACTATTGGATATTGGTAAAGGCGATTGTTCGAACTATAAACAGAAATATATATATATACATATTTTGAAAGATTGATTTTGTAAATAGGATAGTAAATATTTTAGATGTTATATGCAAGTTGAAGTCGATGAATAGAATGTATGTTTACTATGAAGAAATATGAGCTTCTGTTGATAGAGAATAAAAAGATTGCAGTGACTAAAATAAAATGATAACCTAACTTTGGATAAGATATGATTTTCTAAGAGAATTTTATGAGAAATAAAAATGAATTGACGACCTGTATGGATGATGGTCAGATATTTGTCCTGGAAAAACACTAAGCTTTGTCATAAATCGTTTTTTATTAGGCACAAATCTACAAAATAATTTTTTTTATTTAGAGATACAGTTCTAAGTTTGGTTTGCATTAAAAAAGCACAGTATGTATCCGTTTTTTTACTAGATAAACTATTCATTTGCACTTATTCATACTACAATATATGCGCTAATAACTTCTTCTGCATCGACATGGAAAAAATGATTTTGGAAAGTATTTTTATGAACGAGCGAAGTAATATTTTAAATTTTTGAAATATTAAATTTTGAGAGCAAACAGTTTTTCTTTTACCATAACATATCATATATGGGCGGCGTTACAGTCGAAAACAAATAAACATTGATAAAAAAAAAATACTACTCAAAAGGCATAAACTATAAGATCATTTCTTCTTTTTCTGATCGGGACTTGCTAATGAAGGAACCTTCCCAATTGGAAAATTGCTTTTAAGTTCGGATTCTGTTTATAAGGAAGATCCCAATGAGGTATGAAAAATACCAAAAAGATAACGACAATTAGGTCTTCCCTAGAGAGTTATAGAAATTTTAATGAAATTTAAGCCTATTTGCACGGTGTGTACACAAGAATTGAATGACGGTATTGTGCCTATAGATAGGCCTACTTATAATTAGAAGTTCTTGAAAATTTCAATTCAAAATACTGTCATTCATTCTTCTGTACATACAGTGCTGTAGGTAAAAATTTCAGTAAAAATGTCTATACCTTTGTAGGAAGATTTAACTAAACTTCAAGTAAAATTGAGCATAACTTAGTATAAATATATAAGACCAGTTCTTTATCCTCATTTTAAAGTCTTTTGAAAATACTATTTTACTTTGTCTAAATTTTAGCGTTGCCTGACACATATGTTATTGATGATATAGAAATTATATTTTCGATAATAGAATTTTATTATTTAGATGGTTCAAATTGTGATTGTTTTTGTTTCAAACTTTTCACTTTATCTGATCAAGATCCGGAATGAACTTTTGAATATCGTGAAGAAGGAAATTATTGTTTATCTATACTTTCTTTTTGAGGTTCTTCTTCATTCAATGATAATTTAGAACTTGGTTGATTTTGGGCTGGAGAATCAATACGTTGAGGTGTTGGTTGTTTTGGTGTTACCGAAGGATATGTCTCAATGGGTTGCTCACTCACTAGCGGTTCTTGTTTTCGTGTTTCAATGATTATTTTCTCTGGAGTTTTGACTGGTGATGCTTGTATTTTTGATGATGGCGTAGGTGTACGCTAGTAGAAAAAAACAATATATTTAATAAAATTAAATACATTTTATAAATTAATATTAAAGAAAATGCAATTTACTTGTTTTGTTGATATAGATGAAATAGGAGTTGATTTTCGTGTTTCAGATTCTGAAACAAATCCATAATTAAGAGAATCAAAACCTTTCCATGTGTGTAATGCTTCATTTGTTTTTACTTCTTGTTTGCGATTGATTTCTTCCATTTTTTTATCAAGTAATTCAACTTCAAGTTGTTTGTTTTGTCGACTAACCTTTGGTGATTCTTTTACATTTGTAGGTGTTGCTGTTGAATTTATTCCCAATATATTTTGACGATAAGATAATTTTTCATTGGAATGAGCGCCAATAGTAGTTGAAAGTGTTGGTAAAACTTGTGTTTCGACGATTTTTTCAGCATTTTTTTCGGCTAGTTTTCGTTTAATTAATAAAAGTGTTGCTAAATTTGGTGCTGAAGAATTCATTGTTGGTGTTGCCATAATTATTGTTTGACGTTCAAAAATTTTTCTTCTTTTTAACACATTGAATATGTGTTTGATGAAGATGACAATTAATTTATTTCTGTTGCATTTTATTTTATAAATTCATTTAGAAAGAAAAAGAAAATGAAGAGATAGTTTAATAATATAAAAAAAAGGAGCAAAGAAAAGAAAAGAAAAATGGGAAAATAACAAATGTAACATTGACAACGGCAGTTTGTTTTTTTTTTTGTGTTTTTCTTGTATTAATTAACATTGAAAATGGTAGATGTACGTGAGGTTTCTATATATTTTGCTCGTATTCGAAAAATTTTATATTTAAGTTTTTCTTCTAAATCATTAAAAATTTTCGATGAATTAAAATGTATAATATGACATAGAGATAATTTATTAAGAAGATTTTCACAAGCTAATTGGTCATTCATATAAAAAAATTCACGATACCAAATACATAAAATATCAAGAATATATGAAATAGTTAAGCGTAAACCATTTTCTTGCTCAATTAAATTTATACCATTCGAATATGTATGAATATAATTAAATTTCGATATATAAAGTAAAATAAATGTACGACATGCTGTTGAAATAAAATTGATTTCAAAACGACGAGCTGAAATAAAAATAGCTTTTATGTTTTGAAAATTCCTCAAATTTTTATTATCAAATAGTATTTAAATTATTTTTAAGTACAATAAAATCTCTCGAATGCCGACACTATCGGGACCGACCGAAAGTGTTCATTATTGGGAAGTTTTCAGTTTCTTTTTTTGGCAACCTAACGACTGGACCATAAAGAATGGTCCTCTTAGTATTTTGACTATAAATTTTTTTCTTTTCAACCTTGAGACCCGCAAAAGATGCATCGTCAAATTCTCTATACAAAATTTATGAGATTAATTTCTGCAGAAAGATAAGAAGTAAAATTAAACTAAGAATAGTCACCACGTAGAAATGGACTAACTTTCAAAGCTAAAAGTCGTTTTGCCCAAATACTTTCGTAAAGTTGAACAATAAGACGACACAAGAACATACGTATTTTCTAGTTCTTGACAAGATCTATCAACCTTGTGATGAGAAATGCCTGCTGTGTCAAATTAAACGATCAAAGATTATTTAATAGTTTTCTGTATAAATTCAACTTGCAAAAGAAAATAAAAAATAGTAGCTTTTGGACATTTTGAACTGAATTTCCGGAAGGTTGAATTTTTTTGAATGAAGACTTTGATTTGAACGAATTTTAAAGTGTATGGCGAGAAACAGTACATTTCAACATACTCAACAATATCTTCATTTTTGTTTTGTTATCTTTGTAATTATTGATAATACACCAAAGTTTTTAGAATAAAATGACTTTGGCAATTCGTCCATCTCTACGTCTTAAGAGTTCTTTGTGTAATTTTACTCCTTATCTTTCTATAGAAATTAGTCTGATCAAATTTTTGTAAAGAATTCGATGGGTTATCTTTGAAATAAACAATTAAATCTCAAGATTGAACCGTTTTTAATGGACCACCTGTTATAAGTCTTCTGTTGCACGTGTTGGCGTGATTTGATGTCAATAGCTATTAACATAAAAATGACGAGCTGTTACATCAAGCACGTTTGCGATTGTCTAATCTTAGGTTTTTTTAAATATGTGAAATTATTTCGTTCTATTTTGGTGTTTCATAATTGTTTATTACCATACAATTCACATAACGTCATTTTTTTCTCATTCTATACGTGAGTGATAGAAGTACTGCTTGACGTTACTAAGTTTTTTGGTCACAGTCACGGGGTGTGGTCGTGAATTACGGAAATTAGTTTTAGTTTGTTAGGAGATCTTTATATAAACTATTAAATATGATGTTTACGACGGTTAAACATATAGATTCTATGAATAAAAACGGCAAGAATATGTTGAAGTGAAAGAGAATAAAGCAAAATCAATTTCATATTAATCAATTGAAACCTAAAATTAAATCTGCTGGATGAAGTTGAAGTAGGTCATTTTATTAAGTTATGCTTTATATAGAAAAATGCATAACACAAATACTTCGTGTGTGAGCTCGCATAATTTATATTCAAAATAGGACTTTATGTGGGCATTATGCAAATTTTAGGGAATATTCGAGAAAATTTTAGAATCTTCGCAAACGGTTATATATCTTCTTTAGCATTAGTACGAGATAAATTTAGAACATTTTTTATTTACACTTCTTTTGGGGAATTTTATGGTATATTCGAGAACATTTTCTTTGAAGAGCATCATATTTTTATGACATAAAGACGGAGAACGTAGTTGACAAGAATTTCATATTTTTTATTTGTTGGTTATGAAATCATATATATTACTTTAAAGTAAATTCTAGAAACTTTTTTAAGACAGCAGCACATAAGTGCATCTACACATTAATTGGTTCATTCTTCATATTGCTTCATTCCAAGAGATAAGATACCAATTTTTATAAATTATGTTGTGAAAAAATGTCTAGAAAGCATGTGTAGCATTTTTGCTACAATGGGACTCAATGGATTACGTAACAAAATTTATCTTATCAAGCGAATAATGAATAACTCAATTGCAACTCGAAAGATTTTGGGAGAGAAATCTAATATTAATTAACTGCATCAAAAATATTGCAGTTAATCTTCTGGAAACAAAACGAGAAGGATTATACAACTAAAGTTTGAATTTATTTGAGCATCGTGATTCTTTAAAATAAAAAATAATAGTTATATTATACGTGATTCATGTACGCCACTTTATATATATATAGACGTAGTTGCAGATACTGGATCTACGCCAAAAAGAACCAGGTTATTTGTATTTTGTAACGTGTAAGTAGCTTAGAGAAATACAGAACGTGTGTCCACTCGAACGACTGTAATCAGAGTCCAGTTACGGTCGCGGGCTTTTAAGAAAAATTAGAAACGATCTCGGTCATGGCCGTGATAACCATGAGTTACGGCGATCACATGGGGACTTGTAGTGGCAAACAAAAGTTTGGTGTAGTTGTATTTCTGAGTTCTCTTCTTCATAGTAATAGCTAGCAAGGGTCTGAAAAAAATATACGAGTAGCTCAAAGTATTCTCTATCAGGATTGGTAAGCCTACAAATCCTAATAAAACTGCTTGGATATAAATATCTAGAAAACCAAACCGCTCAAATCAGTTTTCTAGCATCCATTAGAGACTTTTTCGAAATGGTTTTATTCGATAGAGCGTATAATTTTGAGCAAAATAAGATACTTTGACTCTTTTCGTGACAGTTTCTTCATCACATTATATTCAACTTTTAGAAGACCCAAAAGCAACAAATATGGCGATATCATTGAAATTTTTCATGAAGACAAAAGGAAAATGCTTCTTGGTCTTCTATAAACTGAACGCAATTTAATAAAGGAAGGACAGAAAGAGAACCGAGATATCTCATTTTGCTTTATTTAATAAAACCTTTTCCGAAATGTTTAAAATAGATGCCAGGAAACTGGTTTTGCAGGTAATGATTCTCCTGACATTCTCACCCGAGTAGTTTTGTTGGAGTTGCTAGGATCCACTAATCCTGATAGAGAATCGTTTCAGCTACTGAAATGTTTTTCAGATTCTTCCAAGCTACTACCGTCGAGAAGAAAATTCAGAAATATAGCTGCTCCAAAGCTATGTCCACCGCTATAGAAAGAACATGTGTTTCTCACATTACAGAGGTTGTTATTGTTCATGGAACCAGAAATAAATGCCCAGTGTGAAAAATAATGAGGTGCTGATATAGAAAGGTTCTGTTATAACTAGTACGTTCGAGATATTTTAAACTATAAATAAGTTTTTGAAAAATTTTTGAAGAAAAAAAAAACTGCTTTCATTTTCTATTTGAATAATACTTTTATTTTCATATAAAAAATATCATATATTAATCTATTAATAACATACCAAGGATAAGTAATCCAGTTACATTTTGAAAAGTAATTGTACATTGAAATTGTGGGTATAAAAATTGAAGTAATTCAATCATATCATTTGATGACACATCAACAATTTCAATTGAATTAGTATTTTCATCTTGAAAATATAATTGAAATACTTTCGATACAGAACACAATACACTTTTATCGACATAAAATTCTTTTTCTAGAAGGAATTTTTTTTCAAAAAAATTCATTTCTCTTTTTTATCAGAAAATACCTTCAACAATAAGTATTAAATCACTGAAAGGATGTGATTGAAGGAAAAATTCTTCCGCTAACTGTTTATTATTGTTTTGTTGCGTCATTTGAAAATCTGTATCTATATTAAGTGTAGTTATCATTTTATTAATTGAATCTGTTTGTGATATTTTGAGTCGTTTTAAAGATTGCATTGATGTTTTTCGAATAAATTTTTTTTTACCTAAACTTGCTCTTGAATAATCGTTATTTATAATTGATTCATTCGATTTCGTATATTCGGATAATGGTATTTTATTATTATTAGCAGTAGCATATGTAGAGATCATTATGTTTAATGAATAGAATAACAAATAAAAAGAGTTATTGGATGAATAAAAATGAAGAATGAAAATATAAAAACATAAGCGCCAATAATAATAAAATATTGATTTTTTTTTCATGCGTTGTCTTCGATCGCTTGGTGAGAGGAGGAGATAAAGACGCTCAACATTGGCGACTATTCCTCCTGACTCATGTTGTCGTTAAAATTTATTTTTTTGTCTCAGTCATGAAGACTATTTCAATACATTTCAGTCAAAATAATAATGGAGTTAATCAATCGATAACAACAAAAACGTTATATAAAAATTTTAAATATTATCAAAATTATAATCCAGCTGCTGGTGATGTTAATAGAAATGCAACTATATCTCAAATAGAACATGAACGAAATGTATGTGAAGAAGAATTATATAGATTACGTTATGGAATTGAAAATTTATTAGCTAATAAAGAACAAGGTGATTTTAAAATGCGAGAACATAAAGATTTTAAAAATATAGAAAATCCTTTTCGAACAATGATAACTAATATATGCAATCTGAATAGTACATTTATAGAAAATTTCATAAAATTTACAAAAAAGAAAGTGTTTTTTTCAAAAATTATTCTAGATAAAAAGATTACAAGTTGGATCAATAGATGTACTCCCTGTTGTCGTCGCTGGAGACGAGATAATAGACGTAATAATAGTATTTTTAAATCCAATGAATATTCTCATCGTCAGATTTATAATGATCAAAATTATGATAATCCTTCACATAGAACTCCAAAATCTTCACAACTTTATAGGTCTAATGTTGATTTATAAGAGAAGATACTAAACATCATGCAAATATTTGTTTCTTTTTTTTTTCAGCGACTCATTTATTTCTTCTTCACCATCAATATCATCACGTTATATTAATCCGAATAGAAGTCGAAAAAAGCATAATTTAAAAAGAAGTATTAGTAAATTAATGAATGGTATGACGACATCCAGTAAAATGAATGGTTCGAATCTATTAAAATCGAAAGATATTAATGATTCTCTATATAATTCATTAATTCTTAAAATACTCGAAGCAAAAGCATTAGATTGCCTTTGTACTGGATATTCAAAAGAAAATACACAAAAGCAAATTTCAAATGCATTAAATGAAATGAATCAAAGGTTTACTAAAACGAAAATCATTAGTATAAGCTTTTTCTTTATAAATATTATTGTACTTAAATAGAATTGGTGAACAACAATTGGATTCTACAAGTGCTACATCATCACCTTCTAGTAATAAATCGTCAATATTAACCGATGATAAATTTCCTTCCTCTCAATTCAATACACCACAACTATCGAATGAAGAAATAAGTTCTCCATCGTCATCTGATAATGAACCACCTAGTGTTAATGAAACAACATCAACATTATCATCACCTGATAACAACAAACAAAAAATTAAAAGTAGAAAAAAAGTCTTTCTAAAAGAGACTATAAGGGTTTGATTACACAATAGAATATATTTAAGATTGTAGAGAGAGACTTTCTCTAGTTAATAATGGGGTCTGCGAAAATTAGTCAACCCGAAAATTGATCGATGAGATAAATAGTCAAGAAATTTATAATAAAAGAACAAAAGCTTTCAGCTGTAGGAAGATAAAAAACATTGGTTCATAAATAATCTGTAGCTCTTCTAACTTTTGTGATAGTATCATGTAAAAGTAAAGTGGACGCTAATCATTTTCCTGAACATTCACTTTTAAGCAGCAGAAAAAGTAAAAAAAGAGTTGGCGTAGGTCTTCTTGCACTCCTGCTCCTACGTATTCATATGATATGATCACAAAAACCTGAAAGTTTCTCAGTTTTACTTTCTTCAGATTTCCTAATCCTTTTAGACCCTTTACTCGTATCAGTCCTAGTAATCTCTGTACTCCTTCTAGTTCGGTAAATCTCTTTAGCAATGTTAGTCTTATTAATTTGTTTAGTTCCTCATGTTCTTTTACTCTCTTTAGCCTCCCAGGTCGCTTTAGCCAGCATCAGGGTGAGAATGACGATGACTTTTGAGATGATGATGACTGCGAAGTAATGGTTGAGGTTGCGAATGTCTGCTTGCAAGAAATATTATAAAAAGACTAAAAGCAGTAAAGAGACTTGAAGGGCTAAACCGAGTAATGGATCTAAAGGGATTATTAGGAGTGCAACAAATCTTGAATAGATTTGGGATTTGGTTTTTGGATTTGGGTTTGATTCGGATTTAGTTCCTAGATGTGGACTTTGTTTATATTTGGGTCTCAGAACTGCTGCTATCACTTTGTTTGGTTTAGATTTGGGATTCGGGATTAGTGTTATGCTTGAAATTGTGATTTGGTTTCAATCTAACATGACTCCAGCTTTGTAGTCGTGTTAGATTGAAACCAAATCACAATCCCCAAATCCAAATCCCACCCAAATGCTACTCTCCATATTCAAACTCCAAATCTCAAACCCAAATCTATACCAAATCCAAGCCATTTTATATCAATTTAAAAGACTTAGGATCCTTGCTTCCTTCTGGAAGTTTATCTTGCAAAGCCACATCATATTTAGGTAATTTAAGACCAAACCCAAATCCAAATCTCAGTCGAGAACCAACCCAAATCTTTTTGTACCAAATCCCAAGACCTTGAATTTGTTGCACTCCTAGGTAATATGAGGTTTGAACAGAGTTAGACCGGGAAACTTGCGATTTCTTGTGAATCTCTCTGTTCGTCTGAGTTGGAGCTTTTATTCTCTTATCATAAATTTCTCGTCAATTGGTCGCGTCCACCATTTTTCGTTTTTCCCTAGTAGCGTATGTCTTATCAAGTTCTACTGCGTACCGTTCACGTATAAATGGATGACCCCACCTTCATCGTATTCTATCGCGATCGTGGCAAAAGTGGAGGCCACCCATTGACGTATCAGCAGTATGTAGTAGAACTTTATAATACATACACTAGTAGATAGAGAAACTATTTCCTCAGAAATCAATATATATTCCTTCCTGGAGTCAAAAATCATCGAAAAACTTATAATTCCGTTTCTATTGATTTGTTTCATTTTTACATATAATAGGCTCATTGAAATTAAACGAAAACATAAAATCACCAAAGAAAAAGTCCAAAGTGTAAGTCATTGATCAATATATATTATTATTGTTATTAGATGATGAGTTAATTTTTCTAGAACCATTGTTGGTGATAAAACACCACAATTAAGTAAAAAGTTTGTAAATAAATAAAATCGATTTTTTCTTCTTCTTGTAAAGACAAATTAACAAAAAAGAAGAGATCATCTTCAAAACATAGAAAAAAATATAAAAAAGGTTCAAAACAAAAACGTAAACCAACTAGTGTAACAATGAAACGAACAAAATCTCGAACTTCAAATAAAAAAAGAGGTAAATCTCAAACATCAAATAGAAAAAGAAGTTCATCGAAATTAAAAAAAGTAAACATTTATGAAAACAGTTTTCAATAATTTCATATTAATATAAAATTAAATTTACATTCATAGCAGAAAGGTTCATCAAAATCTTCATCAAGAAGTAAATATAACAAAAACCGGCGTAAGTTTTGTTTTCTTGTCACAAAGCTTCAATTAATTCAATTGTTTGTTTCAATTTAGAAACCAAAAATAATCGGCGTACTAAAAAGAAACGAACAAAACCAAAATCAAATAATCAGATGAATGATCATGAAACAGTTATGTTACCAATATTTATATATCCTCAATCATATCAAGAAGTATATCAACATCGACAAAGACTATTAAAACTTTTGCTTTCATCAACATAACATAAATGTCTGTTTTTCTAAGAATAAGCTGTAATTAATATGTACAATATTTAAATGTTATGTAATTATTTCTATTTTAAAGGATACTATTTCTTCACAATTGTAAGCCATTCTACATTGTCTATATTTGTCTGTTTATGAAAAAAAAAGAATGCGCCAAAGTAAATGCGAAGAAAGAGTCTAATATACTTGTAATAGGCCGTCCATAATGAATCGAACTAATTTTAAAAGCAAATGGTTAAGCCATCTACTATGCATATAAAATATTCACTAATATATGAACAGATGGAGAATTTCAAACTCTACAGAACTGTATACTTGATTTTTACAAAGGTTTTTTAACTTTAAAGCAATCAAAACACTGTGATAAAATTATATATCTCCACTGTAGAATAAAAAATAAAGGAAAAAGTGCGACATTGCTACTGAAAAAGAAATTTTCCGGCTATATTTCAAAGCTTCAAAACGACAATATCTTGTAAAAACTCAGAGCACAATAAATGAAACAAAAAGGATGTTACATAAGTTACATTTTTGGACCAGCTTAGTTTTCTATGAGTAATGACGTAACGACAGTTGGCAGTAGATTTAACTTTCTCTTGCTGCCATTCACTCGTGAACATGTGATGGCTCTTTAATTGGTTGTGATGGATAGACAACTGAATTCTTCATCTAATCGTAATATTTTCAATGAAAGGGGATATCAGCTGTCAAAAGGTAGCGGTTAGGACCCAAATATCAGCTCTTGAGCACATCCAACTAGTAATCCCTGCTGACATTCAAAAATAGACCTGTGATAGCTCTCATTAGTTGTTATTGATGTAGATATCGTTTTGCTATTAAATCATGATATTTTTTAAGGGTGTCACCAGGCAAAAGACATGAGTTTCATCGATAACCCAAGTTTTCAGCCGACGGCTACCGGTATTGTGCAAGTTGTGTGTAAAAGCTTGCGAAGACTTTATTGATGCTTGATAGTGGTTTGAGAATATTTTGACGGTTGATTAAGCGTGCTATTGTTGAAAATGTCATATAGGACTGAATATAATCTGGTTTACGTGAGTAAAATCAGCAGAAATGATACTTGATGATTTTCTTTTGCAGAATGATTGTTGATCAATTGATAGAGAGCAGAAGAGATTACTCTAGGGTTATCGATTGATATGATATCAGCTCTCCCTTTTCTCTTTTCCTTTCTCTTTAATTTGTATTAGACTGAAGGACTGACTAAAGCATTTATTACTTCGAAAAAATTCCCATCCATTACATGACTTTGGAACATAGTACAACTGAGTTAGACTGCACTAGTAGATTTGAATAATGTTTTCTATGAAGCAGAACAAAAGCAGATAATGCTGACGATGGATGTTAGATCCTCATATACAGCGTCAATAATCATCTCAAGTTTATGTCTTAATAAATCGTTGCACTTTTGCTGCTCATGTGAATAACTGCATATGTTGTTGATCAATGAATATTTATATCTTTTCTAATTTGTGTCTGTTGCTTCTACTCATCTTTTATACATTTCATCAAATAGTCGCGTATCCGGTTCTCTCTTTCGGTACTATATACTGCCTTTCTGTCTCTCTTTCTCACTCCTTGTAGCCCTCGTCTCGCCTTCTCGCCGATTGTCTTCATATCTTTTCCTTGCTTTCTTTTATTTCTCGCCATCTCCTTTGTTCTTTTTGTACCCCCCTTTGCTGTCCTTGCATCTTTTTCTCTCATTTTTCATCGTCACGATTCTATTTCTATATCTCGTTTTCGCTTGCTTACTATTACTCTTTTTGCATTCTTACGTCTTCTCTGTCTTTCACATGTTCACATTACCTTCTTTCACTCCGTCCTCTATCGGTTTTCTGTTTTCGAGGTCAAGTTTATCTTCGCATTGTTTGCAGTATAGTGTTGTGTGAAACAGCTTGAATGACATTTGGCGAGAAGCAGAACATAATTTTAAATTAGGACCATTCGGAGTATGAGTGGTTGCAAACTAAAATACATTGAGATGTGCATGACAGCGGACCAATCTACCAATCTGATTTCTTTTTCTTTTGCATAACGACATGAATGAACCCATGAAAAACAAAAATTAACATTGTGCAGATCAGAACATTCATCGCACCGATGCTGTAGTAAGAACCGTTTCTTAACCTAAATATCCACAATTCATAGACGAGCTAGTTTTCAGATAAGAATCTGCATTTCAATTAATAAGAGAATCACGTAGTGAAAAATACACAAAAATAAGAAATCTGTCACAAGCAGACTTATTTGAAATTTTCTATCAGGTGTGTCACCCATTGTCAATATCTAAGCAAAACATGTACGCAAATTTTACTAATGTCTTTCGGAATCTTGTTCATTCCTCTTAATTTTAATAAATTTTCATATAAGTAATATAATAATGACTACAAGCTGCACAAAACAATGTTTAACTAAGATGCCGAACGTTTTCAAGTCTTTAACAGTACAGAAGTGTTGCTGGAAAGATACAACATCGCCTGCCCAAAGAATATCAGAATATTTTTATTTCAACTTGCCGTTAAGAAAACTTATCTATTCTTTCTGAGAAAATTGAAACTTCGTACTGACCAGCACACTACACTGGCTTTTATCTAGCACAAAAATTCACGTAAAGAATACAATCTTTGGCATGCACACTTGCCACAAGTGCGTCGTTTTGTTACTCAAACAGAACTTTATGAACTAGAATTCTCCAGAATTTCTAGTTGTTTTTGGAAATATCCAATTCGAAAACATGAACATTTCGATAGAGAATTTAATCTTCTCTCCATCACAACCAATTGAAGAGCCATCATAAGTCCAAGAGCGAATATCAGCAAGAAAAACTCGAATCCATTGCTGACTTTTCTTACCTAAAAAAGGAATAAGTACACAGTAATGATGATTTATCATTATTCGTGGATCATTAGAATAGATCATATTTTTCTTTTCAAATAATATTATTCATTTAGGACATATATATTTCATGATGATATTTCTTTAATGTTTTTTCTTTTAATTTGATTAATTCTTGATTAAAAATATGAAAAAGAAAAAAGAAAGACATCAATGCTAAATGCCGAAACTATTTCTTGGAAATTTTTACAGAAGTCTTGTTATTTCATCTGTCAATTCTCAAAATCTATTTCAAAATAAAACAAATTCTTAACATTCAAAATTTCTTTTTTCAATATTCTTTCTCTTCTAATAACATGTGATTTAAGAGAGAATTAGTTCCATTCTTGTATGAGACGCTGATGAACACGGAGAAACTATCAAAAAATCAACATTGAAAAGTCTAAACAACTGAAATTGAGCAGCTATAAAATATGAAAGAACCTTCTAATGTTTTCATATACACAATCAATTGTTTATAACATGAATGACAAACAAGGTTCTTGATAATTTTTCGACGTCACTATTAGTGGCGTGATCAGAAAAATGTGATAGAGGGGCGAAGACGTTTCCACTCCCGTCGTTAGAGGGGGTTCATGATATTTTTTTTAGCAAAAGTCAACCATTCGTAGAGAGACAGGGGGGGAGGGAACTCAACGCCTTTTAGAGGGGGCTCATCTTCCTCTAGCTCCCATCTCCTTACGTCACTAGTCGCTATCCCTATAATTTGATGTGCTTATGGGGAATTTGATTTTGCGACAAATTCAGAAAAAAAGAAAGCATCTGGAAAAAATACATCGAACACCATAAATGGATAGAAGTGGTATAGTGGTATAAATTGTACAGCAATAAACTGCTATAAGGCTATGCCATTGATTGCTAAACCGTTTCTAACTCTTATTTCTTTAGTGTTTTTTTGCACACGTTTTCTTTTTTTCTAAATTTGCCGCAAAATCGAATTCTCCATGAACTCTCGCAACTTATTATAAGTTGCTCGACTCAGATACACCAAAACTATCTTCCATATCTTTCAAACTGTAGCAGAAAAGGATTATGCTGTAGAACATTGAATGAAAGAAAAAATTCATTAGTTTTCTCATTGTTTATTTAATAGATTTGGCTGCAAGGGTAACACGACAGTTGAGCACCCGACAGTTGAGCCCCGACAGTTGAGCCCCCAACAGTTGAGCTCCGACACTTGAGCCCCCATTAAACAGGAGATTAAAGAGTACAAGAAAATAATTTTTTTTGAATAAATTTTGGGAGGTGAATCGTGCAATGTTGTTGCACTATTTCTAATCTGTGGTTTAAATTTCATTGGCTAGTGTTTCTTCGGTATTTGGTGCATGAATACGATCTGTGACTTAAACGTATTTTGTACCATCAAAGCACACACGACCTGCACAATTATTTCTACAGACACGCCAGATGCTTTGAGATTTATTGCCAAGGCGGTAACAAAACCCGTCAAGTACAAGTTAATCCTTGTTTTTTGGAGATTTTGCAAAAGACATTGTATAATAATAATAGAATAAGATAGAAGAGTAATGGAGAATAGATAAAAAAAGAAATATAATTCGAAAAACTTATTTGTTTTCGTAAAGATTATTGACTGAGCTATGAAAGTATTTAATAGCGATTCATCAATCTCATAGGAAGATGTGACTTGTATCTGTTCACTAATTTTGAGCCGAACAAAGTGATCGAATACTGACTTTGTTTCTTTCGTAATTAATCAATGAGGGCTCAACTGTCGGGTGCTCAACTGTCGGTGTACCGCAATCAAGTAGATATTGAACGATAACTGCAAATACTAAATATCATTAAAGACTTTGTGAATCACAGTAAGGTTTTCTTAAACAATATGAGTTTTGTCATTTTCTATATGAAACTGATAAAACAATGAAATTTAACAACTGTCAAAAGCGGAAATATTGCATGAAAAGTTAAATGATGATACATATACTAATTTTTATTACAATTTTTTTTGTTATTTTGATTGATTTTTAAATAAAGAACATATTCTCAACATTACTATTGTTACACAAATATTTTACCATACGAAAATGGTACAAAGACGATGTGTTTACAATTACGGATAA